TTAATGGCAAAACCCGAAGAAAGTTGGTTATATTCATAATCTAGAATACTAATATTGCTTCAGACATGCCAAAAAAGTGAATGCATCATGCCAGTGTCACAATGGGAAAAGCCAGATTTTTAGAAACATAAACCATCTGGTGACATAAGCAAATGCAATTACGATCCTATTATGACCTTATAAACATAAGAAATGTTCTGATCTGGGGACTGTAAATTAACATAATACAGAGGTAATATTATAAATAACATAAATTTGGTAAAGCTTAGAGCTCTTTGAGAAGCACATTTGTCATGCAGCTGTGATCATTTCAAACCTGTTGTGTTCACTAATCAACACTTCTTAGAACAAAAACTCTTACTTCTCTCCGAATACAATGTGTGGTTATAATATGCATAATTTTGTACACCATGTTTTCTCTTTTATTTTAACAAGTCACAGGTAATATCACAGTTTTCCACTTGTGTGTTTTTGTGTCACACTTTTCAGAACTCAAAATTACATTTCAACTTCAGCCTAGTGCCAAAGACAATCTGTGCACTTGTGTATTATGTTCAAAGTAAAAAAAGTCATTCCCAAGACCCAGAATTATGAGGAAAAAGTTGCAGGAACAAGTCAGAGTTTGGAAGAGTTATCATGTAGCCCAGTTTTCCTGGTCCCTGGCTGACTCCGTGCAGTGAACCTATGTGCCTTTTAACGCATTGTACAAATACTTGGGACCAAGGAATGCTGTGCATGAAAACCAAACCAATTCTTCCCAAAGCTAAAGTATATCTGGCAGATCTTAGTAATCAGGCATCCACCCACATTAAAGCATCTGTGAGGCTCAACCCATGTTGCCCATGGAGACATTACAGTCATGCTAGAGTGGTACAGTGGTATTATATCTGAGTTAAAAAGCCTTGCCGGTCCTGCTGGCCTTTGTTCAGGCCCAGTTCAAGGACTTCTTTAACTATGGCACAATTAATTCATAACACGCCCACAGGTAAGTTAAGTTAGCTGTGCAAAATCACAGAGAATTGCTAAAAATTAGAAGCAAACAGCAAATACTGAGGTAATTTGCTAAAATTGGCAAAGAAAAAGCAGATATCTCTTTCACAAACAAAGTGTTCCAGCAATATCTTCCTACACAGAGCATGTACTTAAATATGCCATGTTGTACTCCTGTAATGATAGGCCTGAATTCATCCTACCTAAGCACAAATACTCAACAAAGTCAGTGATCTAGAAGCACATTCCTCCTCTGACATTAGTGCTAAGAGGCAATCCACCTGGAATCTGAGGAAACTGTACAACACGCAGACATAGCAAGACACATTCACAACCTCACAGAATTTATGATCTACATAGGCAGCTAATATTGGAAAGGGTAATGAAAAGGTGAAACAAGTTGGCCAACAGCACACAGTAGCTCACAAATTAAGCTAGAACCACAGTTTTTGAATCCTAATTCAATGCCATTGGCAAAATTGTCTTAAACAAAGGCAATATAAAAAAGCTTTTGAACATTCTTGTAGAATAATGTTTTAATCACAGGCAAAATAAAACCCAAAGGTTTAATTTTATTGCGTAGTTGTTGACAATTATTGGAATCTTCCCCCTTCTCATATTCTATCTTAGGTAGCTAGTTTTGCCCCTGAAGAAACCTTCTGTCTTCAGTAGGAAATCATTAGCTAGTCTTCAGCAGCAGTTTTGCACTGCTATATTTTTTTTAAAAATCAATACTGTTTTCAGTGGTATTTTGGTGAAAGCAATTATTATATTATGTTTTCTAACACTGACTATAAGCTTATGAGAAAAATTTTGAGGATCTGAAAATTTTTTACTCTTTTTTGAATAAAATTTGGGTAAAGCATAAAATTTGGGTAAACATAAATATGTATAGAATTATTATAGAATTACCTATTATGGAATTAAGTAATTATGGTAACCAATACTGTATTATTGGAACTTAGGATTTTCTTGAAAATGTCATAAGAATGTGGTTCTATTCTTATAAAAATAAATTTACAGAAGTTTTCTCTACTGAACAATACTGTGTTTTGTTCTCCGTTCTCACACCTCTTTGCGTTTACTGACATATTTGATGGGATTTACCTTATTTCTCTTACACATTTCTCTAAAAGTTTCTGATCAGCTTGTCATGCAACTCCTTATCAGTCATGGGTTGCAATTCCTTTTGTTACCGTTTCATTTATTCTTATGGGACACACTTATTGTTGATTCATCCTGTGTAAGTTTTCCATAGTGATCTCTGCGTGACTAGCTGCTTAGCAAAATCTAGGTTTTTTCCTTTCTCTGATTTGTTTCCAGTTTTCTGAAGTCATCCTTCACAAAAGGATACTTTCAGTGCAAAGTCTTAATCTCTAACTGATGACCTAGTAGGAATGAAACCTAACTTTAAACATTTGGGATACAACAAAGGAGCAATGACTGAAGCCAAAATATCTTCAGATCATTGTTTTTCATTCCCATAATATTACACAATGGAAAGAAGCAATGACAGATTTAAAATTTATAACCATGTATAGAAATAAATCACAAAGAAAGACATTCCACATCTGTCCAAAAACCAAGATGTTTGTGAAATCAACTTTCAGATAATAGTTCTGAGCCTGCCTTTCTTAGTGCTGCATGTATTCTGCTTCTAGGATGTAATTCAGTGAATTCAGGGACTGTAATTCAGTGCCTGCCTGAACCAGCTGAGGCGAATCACTGATCAGCTATGAAGAAAATCTTGTATAATGTTCAGATGATGCAGAACTCCAACTACAAAAAGTCCAGTCAAGATTTTCTGTCAGTTAAGTGAACAGCTATGTTTGCAAAGCATCTTATTAACAGCAGCCAGCATAATAGGAAAGGTGTTCATTGTCCTGTTGATTCCACAGCTTCAAGTCAGCTATAACTTAGCTTTCTGCATGTCTATCGACCTCTGGGTGATTAAAAACAGGTGCAGCTTTATCCACTTTACAAATATGTTATGCATATTTCCAGAGCTGAGGATCTGGTATTACATAAATGGAAAAGCAGGGCTAATATAAGAAAAAATTAACATTTTAGCCTCTGATGTTTCTCAATGACTTACACAGAAAAAGAAACCATTGAGACAAAAATAGCTTTTCTGAACTATTTTAAGGCCATGGAAGAAAAACACACACATCATTACATTTGCTTGTACTTTGAATGATCATCTCTGTATAGTACTTTTCAATTTTCCTTGGTATTCATAAAATGTAAATCTGTATATAATTTATAAAATTTTGGTAAATTGTCCAATGTCTACATTTAAAACTGAGATGCTTTAGTAAATGTCAGTCTAGAAACAGATAAATTAAATCTGTTATTCATGTATAATCTTCTGCACAAGTATAGCTTGTTAGAAAGTGCTTTAGGTTATGGTTCATACAAGCATACTGATTCTAATCTGGAATTAATCAAGTAAATAAATAAATTTACCAAATGGCAAATAAAGCTCTGTGTGCATTTGACTTGTAAATACATCTGTAAAATATTTTATTAACAGCAGGTGGCAACCTTTGAAAATTGGACTGCAGCAGCAAGGTTTACTTTTAAATATACAAATGCAAATAATTTCAAGAACATTTTTATAAGCAGAAGCTGGGTGATCCTAATGTCTGCTTATTGAGTTTTACATTAACCTTCTCTTAGTGCTGTGCTTTTGTCGAGGAAGTCTGCATTAACTATGGAAATTACAATTTGTTTAGGATTCCAATACAAACACTATTTTGTACTGCTTTTCAAATAATGAATGTTTTATTAAAATTAAAGAGATCATTTGAGAAGTGTGTTAAATTTGGTTAACTTCTCCAGTATAGTATTATAACTATAACTACAAATAGTCCTTTTGTTCTTCAAATGCAATGAGTTTCATTGTTCTACTGTGCTGCAAATACACTGAAAATTGTTCTTTGGTGGCTGTCAAGGAATAAACATGATGCCTATGAAAATGTGGGCTTGATAACATGAAATTCAGATCTGATATATTTCCCATTTCCTGATCCAAAGCACCCCTGCCATTTAAGTTCTTTTTCTGACTAGCAGAGAACATACCCATCAAAATGTCCATAAGTGAAAGAGATTGCTAGATCGATTTTTGCTGCTTCCTGGCTTGTAGTTCAGAACACATAATTTCCCAAGTGAATGGCTAAGGCATCGTACACTACTTACACCTTACTTTGTTATCTTATGCCTATCCAACAAGGCATTCTTTTACTTTAGAACAATGTGTCTTTATAGATGATTATGATCAGATTCACCAGCTGTTCTTGTTTATTCATCACTTTTGAAGAAGCTCAGAAGTACACTTTTCTTAACTTTCAGTGGTAAAGACTTAAATATGTTTGTTGGGAGGGCAAAGTAAAAAGTGCTGCTAAGAAATATATTTAAGTATTATATTAAAACAAGAAAGATGTGCCTTTTTTAAAAAAATTAATTTCCTTTTTATAAAATACTGCTCATGTATTAATTCTTTCTCTACAATAGAGTAAGGTACACTTTTCCCCTTATCTTTACTGCACTGAAATTTACCTCAAATGCATTACAAAGATGTCTCTTGTACATTGGATAAAAGGAATTCCATGATTCCCTGATAACCAGCCCTGATATTCTGAGAAACAGTACATTCAGGGAGAATTTCTGTGGCAAATCACTTCTCCAAATAATGTAGGCATATCTAGGCAATGAATTTTTTTTCTAATAACTTTCTGTACTATTTTGATTTATTTAAAACATGATGCATTGCTCATATATGCAATAGGGCTTGTTTACACCTAGCTACATAAACACAACTCTACTGAGAAAAACAGGAGTGACTTGTCTAAAGCAAGGCAAGATATGGCTCTTCATGGCTATTGCTCTATGGAAATTGATCTTCTCTCTCCTAAAGATGACCATTAAAGTAAGCCATACTGTGCTGTAGATAATAACAGTGATTATATTTGCATCTCACCAGGACACCTCTGTTCACTGCACCTTCTCACTTCCTCTCCGGTTCCTTCACACTGTTGCCCAGTCACAGCAGCACCTTGACAGATCCTTATCCGTCTCTCCCAGCCACCATCACAGGATTTGGAACATCCACTCCAGTGGCCCCACTGGTTCCACTGGCCATTTGCTGTGTGGAAAAATGTAGTTACATTTGCAACATAATGACAGTCATAAAGGAGGATACATATGTTATTCTTTACTTGGGTAAGAGAAGAATGCCCCCCAGATATATCTAACAGTGACAGAAGTGGTAGATGGAGGCACATAGAAGATTGGAAAGTCTCTACTTGGCTCCTAAACATGGGATTTTTGTCTAAATTATTTGTATCTTGAGATTAAATAAAAAGGATAGGCACACATTAATGTACGCTTAGACTGCAAAACAGACATTATCCATTTTGTATCTTTTTTCTATATACTTGTATAGTGCTGTTATATGGAAATAGTACACATTTACAATGTGCATAACTATGTTTTAAAAAACTAAATAAAAATATTTTTTCATGTGATATTTTAGGAGCTTGATTTTTACATCTTCTGACAGTGCAAATGAGGCTTAAAACTAGGTATAAATGTAATTTACCTACCCTGGAAGGCTGCTTTTATACTGCCAGAGGGTCATGAAGTGGTTTCAGTGTAAAAGGGAATACTTGTTCACTTTCTAGGTTCATGAGGCACTTTATTAAGTTTTTTGGGCCTCAAACATATCTTTCTACAACAATTGAATATCCTTTAAATGGTGATAAAATCAAAAAGCAGATATGCAGCCCATCATGCAGTCTTCCCAGTCATATGCTTTAGCTTTTTATCTCCAGGTGGCTCATCAAATAAAAAAAGAACAAAGCCTCCCCCAGGAGGAATCTGCTTTATCCCATTGCAGGCCGCTGAGGCCTGCAGCTGCCCCAGAGACTGCCAGAGTATCCCTAGTGCCCAGCTCAGAGCTACCAGCGAGACTGGCCCCTGAGCCTCTCCTGAGCAGGAGAGGTAGAGCTGCAGCTCCCCGCGCCAGTTGGTACTCACCGGTGCACTCGGGGTTATAACACTCCCGGCTCTCGGCCCAGGGCCCTCTGCACTCAGAGCCACCATGGGCCGCCGCTGTGCACTGCCGGCTCCGCTGCTGGGTGCCGTTGGAGCAGGTCACCGAGCACTGGCTCCACGAACTCCACTCCTGCCACTGTCCGTCGACTGCCGTGGCAGGCACAAAAGAGATGGACAGAGCAGAGTTACCACCTAAGCTGGGTAGGGCTTCATGGCTTTCCTCTAGGTTTGGGGGTTTTGGATTAGGCCTGTATGAAGCCCCTTGCATTTGGCCTTATCTGAAGATGCCCAACTTGTTAGAGCAATCAAACACAGAAACTGCCATTATGAGCTACTTTAAAATAATTTAAACTGGTTTCTTTTGTCTTCAAGTAAAGAACATTTCCCCTCCTGTAATTGTACACTGACATAACAAAGCATAAATTATGATTTTGCTTACATACCATATGGTTTGAAAGGCCTTACTGAAAACAAGGTCTTGTCTTTTTAGGCAGACTGGGGGCCAATCTTGTATCATGTAAAGCCTGAGCCCTTCAAAGGGATTTATTACACCTATGGTGATCACTCAGATGGGTCAGTTTATAAGATTATTTTTCCTAACTGTGAAATTAGGTCTCTTTAGTTGAATAGGAAAAGGAAAACAGGGGGTACCACTTTGCCTCACATACAGTCTCTGTTTTCCATATTTACAATGCTGAATATACTTTTATCATTCATCCTCCCTGTAAGGTAAATTATCCCCGTTCTTCAACATTTTTCTAAGATAAAGTTTAGGACGACAGGAACAGTCTGCCTTTCTCCTCAGGTCTGCTTCTGTGTTTGCATATTGCTTAAGTCTTCTTTCTGAATTTGTCAAGTTGAATTTTAAACAATGTAGATATGGTGACCATTTGTGTGTTTAGTGTTTTTTATTAGCCCATACGTTTGAGTTTGGATGAATATTCTCATGAGTAAATGCTTAGGACTGTTATTTTTTATTCCGTATATCAGAAAACTCCTAGAGATAAATGAAAATATTAAAAACCAGAAAAATAAATAATATAGACCAATTAATTTCCCATACAAGAAAAGAATTACATAACATGTAAGAAAATAGGACTAGATAGTATTTTTTGTAAACAGGTAAGCATTATGAAATGTGTTATTCCTGCTTGTACTAACTCAGAATCCTCCGTTCATACAAACTTAAGCAATCATCAGTTCCTAATTGCACCTGCAGTTAACCAATAAACTGAAAACGTGTGTTGTAATACAATTTTGATTCATAGTCGTCCTTGAAAACCTGGTTTTATAACTAGTATTGCCATAAAAGCACCACCGCTGAAAATGAGTAACTTCAGCTGGCGCACTTGCCAACCCCTGATTTAAGGATTCTTCTAAAGAAGGGTTGGAAAAGTGGCTTCCTAAGTTGATTGTATTAATAATTAAAATAGGAAGCAGTCTCTTTAAGTTAGTGATTTAACATACTGTTTCTCTATGGGTGTACCACTGTTCGGTGAAATATTTTACTGTTGTCTGACAGTAACCACAGAACATTTCTAACAGTTCAAGGTTACTATCCATATCTCTAATGCCTAGGATCTCAGCAACCAGTGAATTAAAGGAAGAGAGTGTTTGAGGGTTTTTCCTAAAGTTCTATATTAAATATTCTATGAAATGCCTGATTGTGAACCACTTCTCAGTGCAGATGCCTCTCAAGCTATGAAGCTGCTCCCAGATAATTTATTCAGCAGAAAATGGAAATCTTTCCAAACATGGAAGATAGTTGCACTCATTAATCATAAAAAGCTTTATGTGAAGAGGAAAACATTATGGAAATTACATTTCAATGCACCCTCTTCAGTTTTATTCATTGCTATATAGTATTATTTAGGGTAGGAAAGATCGAATCAATTATAATGTCTTTGGAGAAAACTCATTCTGTGGCTTCTCATATAAATTTCATACATCTTCTTTATCTTTAGGAGCAAATAGCATATGAGTTTTCTATTTCAGAAATACCGTTAAAAGGCTAAAGAATTCAACATGAAGATTCCCTTACAAAATGGAACATGCAAATTGCAGCAAACCTTAACATTCAGCAAAGATTTAAACTGTTAGTTTTAAATGCAACCAGTATATAACTTCCTCCAGTGAAAAGTCATTTAGGTACAAATGACTGCTCAAAGCCTCGAATTCCAAAATAACTGCTTATTTTGACAGATTAGGTGTAATATCTTTTGTGTTTCTTTGCAATACTGAACTGAACTGAGTGCATTAACTTCTGTGCTATTTTTATTTGGCATTTCTCTTGTTTTCAACTCAGCTTGATGCTCATATATCATGTTGATTACTTTTGTGTAGGCACATGTAAAATCGTGCAGCTGCCAACATGGCCAAAAACTGGATTAATTCAAAATTTTTGCAGCTGTATTCAAGACTAAAACTTTTCCACAAATTTTGTCTTAAATTTGGAGTATGCTCTGCTGACCAGAAGAAAAGCTAAGTTCAGCTTTAACAAAAATCTAAAAAATTTAGTTTCGATTATGTGAGACACTAAGTTACATTTTTGTCTTTCATTTCTGTTTTCAACTCATCAAAAAAACATTTGCTAATGAAATGTCCATCAGCCTTCTCAGGAAGAGCTCCAGTGAGTGGAAGAGATTCCAAAGAATCTGTTTAGAGCAGTGATGTGAACTGTGTATATTCAACAAGCCCATTGCAAGGGTAACCTTCACACTGTCAGACAGAACTTGTGAAAAAAATTTCTCACATTACAGCTACCTGACACCTTTTAAATCCCTAAATATTACAATTAGTTCAATAACCATAAATTATTATTATTATATATATCTTCCTTGTAATTATTGAACTCATTGTAATACATTGACATTAGATGCATATCTATACAGACATGCGTACATATGTATGTGTTTACATACCTACATGAATCTCTCATATATACATAGTGAAAATTTTGGTCAAAATTAATCATAATCTATGGACAAAAATTTTAAAATCAATTTTGAAATATTAGATATTTTTGAGTTAGTTTCAATTTCAGTGGATGGAAGGTTTAACACGAAGCCCACACACTGTTTACTTGGTTAGAGGTAGTTTTTTGAAAGTGGTTTAACAGCTCCCAGAAACGAGGTACTTTAAGTCCTTACCATAAGGGCTTAACCGGCATTCATAAAATGCCCTCACTCGTGTCAGCCTTTCTGTCTGCACAATTGTAAGTAAAATCCATTTTTTAATAAATTAATAACAATTAAAATTTATGGTTTCCCAAATATGTTTGTCATTTGATGAATAAGTAATTACAGTGAACCTCTAAGCAAACATAATTCAAACAGATATCGCGGACACAAACTCTGTGACTCTTCAAACCAAACTCAGAAAGTTGTTTGCCTTTTGGTTCTCCAAGACCCATCCTGAATCAAAGATTTCGACACAACATACCGTGCCTTACGGAGAGTGTCTTGAAAAAATTAAAAATTGTCTGCTTGTGTATTATCTCGAACAGAGTTACCATCCTGATTATAGCCTTTAGTCACTACAGTCAGAATTATGAACACTATTATCCCATCTACTCACTTGACATAACATTTTTTTTTCTGTGTACAAAGGGCAATGAATACAAATCACAAACAACCCACATGGAACGCACTGTAACAAAGCAGAGAGTTTCTATATGAGCTCACCAGGGCAGAGTGCAATATTGCAAGGTTTATGTTGTGTTTCAGGTCCATCACATGATCTTCCCCCATACTGGGGAGGTATACATGACCTTGTCCTAGTTCTTTGGCCTCGACCACATGTGAATGAACACAAACTCCAGGGTGACCATTCCTCCCAAACGCCATGTACTGCAACAAACCAAACAGATTTTAACCAGAAAGAGACACGCGAGTAACAGAAGGATTTCAAAATAAACAAGATCAGTATTTTAAATGGGAATTATTTTGCCAACTTCAAGGAAATCAGTACATAGATAGCCTTCGCATTGGCAAACAAATCCTTTATAAAATTTAGTTAATGTCAATCTCAAAAGTGTATTTTTCCAAAAATACATTTAACTTTGAGTCATTGTTCCTCATCATTAAACTAATCTCACTGCCACATTTTCTTTGTTTCCGTTATTTTAAGAAAGGTAACTTCCCTTTTCAAAAGTTAGTTATATCTTTGGTGCCTGACTTGTAGGCCTGATTTTCAGGACATTAGTCTTTGTGAAAATCAAGCATATACTTTATATATCAAGGCAACTCTAAAAACTTGAAGCAATCAAAATTAGGCTTTCTTTTGAAAATAGAGGAATAAATACAATAATTTCTTACTGTGTCACCATCATAAACTGGGGTTGTTCTAACTTTCATTTGTTTAAATTCTGGTGGAAGTATGGAAGCACATGTGCTTGATTATCTTCCACAAAAATTCCAAGACCATATAAGCAAAAGTGATTCATGCTATTTCCTTACATGAACATATTCATTGATTTAACATACACAGTAACACATGCATCATTCTCTCATAAAAAAAAAAAAAAGTTCAAACTTCAAACACTTTCAGAGTACACAATAAATTATAAACACATACCAATATTTTAGTATACAAGTATTTCATAAAATTAATAGAAAGAATCATAGAAGATGCATATTTCTCTACCTTAATTTTTTTCTGCTGTAGGAGAATCTCATATACAATATCCATATAAGCTTATATACCATATGCATTCCCTTTTCAGAAACAATTGGAGCTAAATTTTCAGAAAGTATTCTAATACATATTAGTTAAGCATGTACTGGTAAGACAATTCCATACACGCCTTAGTACAATAGTTGTTTATAAATTGAAAAATACTGCAAAACAAACTTAATCATTTTTCTTCTGCTTAAATAAAAGCAGTTACACCGGTTTAAATTAGGCTCTGTGAGAACAGCAATGCAGTAATGAGCACTGTAGTATTGACAGGCATTTCAGAAAAATCCAGAGACTTAGTGCCCTGCCTGAGCATCACACTCGGTATCACATAACTCTGTGTGTTCCTGCAACCCTGTCTGTTTGAAAGGTGTCTGGAGGGTGAAATAGTGTACAACATCTCAGTGTATCATTGGTAATGATTTACAACATAACAGAAGAAATAGATTATCTGGTCTGTCCACACTTTTTTTCATCACTGTGAAAAAACCCTCCTATATAGGTTTCTTTTGCCCTGAAGGCATGTATCACCTGCCCAGTTTCCCCAAATAAACACCTTTTCTTGTAGGGATCAGAATAACATTTCCTGAGGTGAAATTCAGTTGCCAAAGGTGTGGAAGGAGGTTCAGCTCCCTAGCATATTATCACAAAATCATGAAAGATAAAGGGGAAGTCTGCATGTCGTTGCGTACTATTGCATTTCATTAAAAGCACAGAAAATTATAATTTCAGATGCTATGTTGAGGTAAAAAGTTTCTAGGCTAACTTCTGAGGAATTGTACCTGACAGAAAATGTCAAACCTCGTTCAGGGAAGATTTTAACTCACTAGATAAAAGCTCAGTCAATGAAAGGTTTTTAGTTGGTCATGTACAAGTGGTCAAAAAGGACAATAATTATTCCACATCCTACATGTCTAGCTTTATTAACATTATCTTATTCTAAATATCACCCAAGTCTGCATTATATTAACAACCAAAAAAAAAAAAAAACCAACTCCAAAACATTCCAATTTAATGTTAAAGTGACAGATTTTAGTGTAGTTATTTTAGAAACCTTGATTAACTGTGACATTTTGGTCAAAACCAGGAAACCTACTCTTCTAAAACTAGTAAATTTATGACTATATCTGCATATAACCCCTTATGTTTCATCTTTTCTCAACAGGTGCTATACTTAGATAGCTACTTTGATCCAGACATAGGATCCGAAGATTTTTTTTCTCATAGGCGAAGTATTATATTCAGAATCCAGACATATCTCTAAGACTCCACATTTTTTTATCATATGAGAAAAATTAATGAGAAACCAATTTGTCAGATCAGATTACAAACAATATTCAGTAATATCAGTGATATGATTTCATCTCCTGATACCACAATGGTTGAATAAGATGCTCAGGTGCAACCAGAACTTCAAAAATCACAAACATAGCAAAACAAAACTAATCCAAATTAGAAAAAGATTATTCTGTAAAATTAATAAATTAGGTCTTGACACTATGTAGACACAGGCTGAGGTTTTTCAGGGTACATATGAGTTTAAGTCTATTGTCTAATTTGAAGTTTTGATTTGATGCTGTCAACATGCTGTGTTAGTTGTCTTCATTTATAAATGACAAAAACGTGCTGAGGGGCTCTTCAAAAATATTGTCTTGAGACAAAAGGTTGTATATCTCTTCTGGCAAGAGTGACTGCATCTTAGCAGCAACACAGAATAGTTCTTTTGTGATTTTTTATTTGAACACAAGCCAAAACAAAATGCTTCATTTTGTGCAGACTCAAACTTACAGCAGCCTCTATCTGTTCTTGGTTTAAAGTAAGCTGTGTCCAAAATCATCTTCCGTGACATATTTTAGCTTATTAAGTAAAAATCTCACGGTACTTTCTTGTATGTATAGACTTGTATATCTGAAATTAGTAATAGCTAATAAAGTAAAGGATGGAAAAGGCATAACACTAAGAAAACAACAAATATCAGCAAAGAAGTATCAAGGAGAACTAATCTGTTTGATTCATCATAGAAATTTCCAGTATTATCTAGATCATTAAAAGAACACCTTAATTTATAATTTCTTACCTTTGAATATTTTTTTCTGATATTTCATTTACATTTTCTTTCTTTAATACTATTTTCTAAATGCAAAAATACCCTATAACATCTGATGAATTATAGCCAGATGAGCTATGCCAAATTACACCAGATGGAGAGCTGGCCCACAGAGGAGTTACTGTTTTCTGTAACACAGTTTCAGATGCAAGATTCATTATTTGGGACAAAAATATTCAGATTATTGCCAACTTATCTGTCAAAAACATTGCTAGCACAACGAGTTTGGATTACTGCAGAGCATCTTTCCCTTCTCTCTGCCACTCTGTGAACCTAATCATGTTGAAGTGAACACCCACAGTGTTCACAATACTCAACTGCTGTGAAGTAGGAGGAGGCGTGAGGCCATGCTGGCCTTCATCCTACAAGCATATTTTGGGAGATTTTTATTGGGGTTTAAATGCTTTTGATTTGTTCAGTTTAAAACTGAACGGATACTGGAAAGCTATTACGGCCATTGGCATCTCATTGTCAGTGTTCAATATCACTGAATAACTGTATCTAAGCAGATGTTACATTAAAATAATTTTTTAAATTAAATTACAGGGTTTATATGAACAAATTTAAACTCACTTAAGTGCTATATTTTCCTTTAGTATAGCTTAAATTGTCTAGTCAAAAATCTTTCTTAAATTTGTAATACATAAACTCAGCAAACTTTCTGACAGCTGCCTTCTAACCTTCATGTTTAAGCCATACAGATACTTCACTTCTGCCATGTCTCTTTCTAATTGTAAACCTAAGTTTTCCTTACTCTTCTTTTCTTCCTCTCAAGTGAAGGCCTGAACTTCCAGAGTGTAGGTTGCTAACAATAAAGCCACAGGAATTAAAAAATAAAGGGTTAATATCTCTGTAATGATTTTATTAGCGTAGCATGCAGGCACACAATATATATCAAAAAGTACAAATTTAGCAATATGGCTCAACTTCATTGATATGAGCCCTGACAAAAAATGGGAGATAAGTAAAGCAGCCTTAGCATGTCACACCAGCAAAAACACAGCTTTTGAGCATATAAATATTTGAAGTGATTTAGGGTATTCCTCCTCCTGCCATATCTTGATTTACCCACAGATCTGAAAATGCTGAGCTTCAGCTAAATTTTGTGGCAAAAATTGTTGAAGGGAATGGAGAAGGACAAACATAAACTAATTGAGATGATCTATAGGCACTGAAATTCCATGTTCTTTCTCCTTGAAATTTTAGTGGTGAAAGAAATTGCCTCCTAAGCTCAAATGAATCAGTACTGCAGGACTGGGTCCTGAGATGTCCTTGCTCACAAAAGAACTAGTAACATTGGTTACCTGAGCTATGTTTTGTTGCCTACTATGCTGCACTTTTCTAGAAGGCTCTTGATTCCAAGACAGACTGAATTACCTAACAGACTCCTGCCCTGAAATAGTATTGGTTCAGCAAAAATATAAATAAAGAAAAAATTGTGTAAATAATGGTTCCTCCATGACGTTACTTGAATTATGAGGAGTACTATTTTGAAATTTAAGGTTTTACTTCAATACTAATATTTTTTTTTTTTTTTAAATAAGGGTGAATGTGGTGAATCCCATTCTAAAAATTTTCCAGAGCAGTGAGGTCACAGAGAGATGTATTCCCTAATATCCCAGTTACTATCCTGGAGACTACATGGAGTATATGAACCCAGTAGTTGAAAACTCTCTGGAAGACTTGCAGTAGTATTTCCAAGTTTAGCAACTTCCTTTGAATCTTGTAGCTAGATGCTTGAAGTACCTTCCAGTAGGCCATTCCAAACACTTCTTTATTTGAAGGGGTAACTTTTTGATTATGAAGCGCTATTCCACCTTTCAAAATGCCCCCCTCCCTTTTGCTAATTATGCAAAAATATAATGAATATGTCCCAGTAGATTTTTTTTATTTGTAGGTTACAAGGAGAGATCACTGTTACATTTCTGTACATTTATTGCTTCTAGGTTATGCTCTATGGTGCAAAATCTTTCTGTGTTAACGGAGTCCAAAAGCTATATGGAATGAGTGGTAGAGCTCTGAGTACACAGGCTATATCCCAGCTATGTATGCATTTGTCTGGATTGTTTTGTCAAACATGTTTTAATTATACCAATGTACAAACTACTCATTTTGTTATGCATGGACCAGGGATAATCCTGAACTATGCAACTCTCTGCGTTAGGATGCATAATATAATGAGGAGAGAAGATATTTAGGCTAATAATTAAAGGAATGTTTGAAAAATTAATGGACCTGTGACTAGGAAAAGTACATTTCTAAATTGCTAATCTTGCACACTGCCACAGAGTAGTGACCCTGTAGCCAGACAGAGACCAACATAAATTAATAAGGTTATTGTAATCATGTGAAACAACATGCAAGATTAAGCCCAGAAGACTAATTATTTAGACATGTAGCTCAAGATGCATAAAGATTATCAGATTCAGCTGTGGTGATCTGAAAATGAAAATGTCTTGACAGTACTACTGCTAGCCAGGGAGAATTGGTAGCCATTGCTACCTCATACAAAACCATACCCGGAAGTGGGAGATGATTGCAAAGCAGGAGCAACTTTGTGACGTGAGAAATATGGACCAAGTCTTTTTGTGTAAGCCTTGTTTGCTAGACAATGTGATTTTTAAGAATTAACTTTTTTCCAGGTTACTTTGACAGCAAATTAATCACCCTTTTTTTGCATTGCTTGGGGTTTTTGTTTTGTTTTGTTTTGATATGAAAAGTTCTCATTTCTCATTAGAGAGAATGAAGAAAAAATTCTGTAAAATGAGGCGATTTAAATGCCTTTCCTCTTCTTAGGTAATACTAAATTAACAAGAAAGCAGGGAGAACTGCATCTTATTTTGAGTGCTGGACTGTGTGTTTTCATGTTCCTACTTCATGAAGTTTCAAAGGAATCTTTAAATCTGTCTTTGATTGTTTGGAATGTTTGTTCTTTTCTTTTGTAGTCCTCTTTTTTCACTTCTTATTTTTGTACTTTCAAGTTAAGAGTTCTTTTGCAATGTATCCCACCTCTGGTAGACTCTAAGCTAACCTAAGGTTTTTAGAAATAGCTGCCATTTTTGCATGGCAACACTTCAAGTGATCGAATTCAGCCCTGCCTGGGAGTTTCTACCCTGAAATATTAGAAAATCCCATGTGAATTTCTTAACTAAAGCACAGTAGTAAAGCATTAGGTGCTGAGAGCAATTCTTATTACAGTGATGGTTTATCCAGATGCAATCTTTCAAGTTGCTTTCCATTACAGAGGTTCTCTAAATGTTTATAATGCTGATTCACAAACTCTAATGGGATCACATACACACTTCCTGTTGGATGTTTTTCAACGCACAGTAACGTAAGAGTTTGATTCTACACATTTACTACTCTTTGAGATAAAGTCATGGGGATTGTCTGTGTGTAACAGTTTAGTATACTTCAAAAATGGAGTGAGTTTCCCCAGCAACTGAAGATGGCTCACCACTCTCTTGGGACCAAATGTAACAAAGAGCTAAGGAATTTGTGCATCTGAAGGGAGGCATATATTTTTTTTTTTTTACATTTCAGACACAGAAGAGTAAAATTAATATAGTCACAGGGCATATGCTTTCCCTTTTGCCTCCCATCCTAGATCAATCAGATCCACAGGTAGAGTCTAAAGAAACAAGATGTGCCCTCTTGGCTACTCACTTGAGCATGCCGGGCTCTTCTCCTCAGTGCATAACTACCGCTGAACTCCAACTATGTCCAGATCTCTGAGACAAAAGGAGTAGGAAAGCTGTGATGCAAGATAATGATGACCTTTACCTTTTATGAGATGTAAGAGAGTCACTTTTTGTCTGATCTTTCTTCCTTTGATGGGTAGCTGTTGCCCTTTCTTGCCAGAACAATGTAAAGGAAAGTCCATGAAGACATTACAGAGAACATCTGGCCTATTCCCTAGAAGACAGTATTCTAAATGGCGGTACAACTGAAGTGTTGGATAATATATGTTAACTTAATCTACCCTGTTTATCACTCTCTGCTACTTAATGTATTGATGACCTGGATTTCTTTCCTACTTTGTATTTTATGCTCACGTTATACTTTCTTTCTTCTGAGTGAAAATCAGAGAATATAGACTTTTTAAAAAAACCCTGAAACTGTCAGAAAAAAAGAGACTCTTGCTCCATATCTTCACAGTTCTGAAAGTAAAACTAGGAATCTACATGACAAAATTTCACAGCTGTATAGAATTACATTTCTCTGCCCTAATTGAAACGTCTTTATGAAATTCATGTTAAAAATAAAATATTAAGAAAAAGATATAGTTTCAAATTCTTATCATTATACAGTTCAAAAACATCCACAATTCATTTATTGGCTGCTAACACTACCTGGACAGAGGGCAGTGTTATTGCAAACCCTTGATTCTCTTAAAGGGCCGCTGCAGTGTGTCCCGTAAGGTGATACACAAGTTCTGGTTCGCACCTGCGACCCTTGACCACAAGTAACTGAACACGTACTCCACTGGGCCCACTCTTCAACACCAGATTCACCTGTATTCAAGACAACAAACAAACATGAATATAGACATAAGTATTAATGAGACTTTTTTTTTTGGTTTTGCTTAAGCTCATTATCATCTGCTCTTAAAGTTCAAAGAAAAAAAGTACCAGACCAAAATAAATATTTAAAAGTTCATGGAGTAAAGCAGCTGTGAAAATGTGCAATGAATAGAAAATAAAGACACCTACAATGCTGCAATCACATTACACCTGTCAGAGGGAAATATTTTGAATGCTTAGCATGATTTACAGCTTTATGAGAACTACTGCCCTTCAACATATTAAAACAACACTGCCCTCAGGATGCTAAAAGAATATAGACAACTCTTTTTATATAATAGCAAAGGATTTATCTTCATTATTTACACTTGTCACTCTAGAATGAAGGCTAGGTAATAGCTTAAGGAACTTTACCAGTAAGGGAATTCTGATTAAATAAACCCAAACAAACCGACCCTCTAATTTCTTATCTTTTCTTCAGCAGATGAGAGTCATCTAGCAGTAAAGAGAAGTTCCCTGGCAAAGAGATGCACTTTGCTTACCCAATTTTAACCTGAGCAGTGGGATGGGAATTTTGGTGTGATCATTTACTACACAAATCTGCTCTTTGCTTTTGACCTACAGGTGTGCTAAACTCCTGAATGCGCTAGACTTCATTACTGTCTATAGTACATACCACTGTGCTCAAAACTGTGAGATGTGATTTATTAATTCCGTATATTTGAATTGAGTATTTTTTTTAATTGTTGAGAGATAGCACATTATATTATTTCCATTTTTTAAAAGCAAGAAATGTATAAATTCTTTTTGCATGGATGTTCAGGAAAAGAATGCTTAAATTTATTTTCCATGAACAGGCATACACACAATTCTGGAATTCCTTTCCCAAAGGCATTCATGTTCAGAAAATTGGATCCCTTGAGTATTCTCAGAAAGCAAATGCAAAAGTAATGTGAATATACCTCACTGAAAAGTTTGAGTAAATAATTGTGGATTCACGTTCACCTTCTTCCATTAAATATAAGCATAAAATGGCATGCTGAAGCCCCTATTCCACCCTTGATTTTTAAACCTGAGCACTTTTTGAAACAAATGGGATTTTCTGCTTTAAAATCAGTGTCATGGTACAGCCTTCAGTCTTGAACATCTTGTTTAAAATTTCAGTTATCTCAGTATACCTCTAGTCTTACCGAAGTTTTTATACTGGTCACAATCAAGGTAATGTTTGCAAACCAGCAAGACTCTGGTGCTATCATCCAAGAATGCAATAAATGATATGCTATTTCTTGAAACTGCATTCTTGTAGCAAGCATCTGTCCAAGCTTTTTTTTTTTTTTTGGTTTCCAGAGGCCAAACACGAAACCTTTGCAAAATACATGTCTCAGCTAGTCTGCTAAGAAGCAATTTTAAGGCTACTGAATGCTTAAAAAAAATGTGCTTTTTATTCAGTAACAAGACAGAATGCTTTATAATTAGCACACAAATCTCTTATCTTCTCAAAAAATTATATAACATTCTAACAATTTCTATGGACTAAGACAAAATGATGAAATTTTTTACACACAAAAATTCACCAAAGTGATTTTTGTAGTGATTTTCTTTATTTGTTAGGTAACAAACTGAGAAATTTGATTACTTGTTATTGTTACAATAATTTTTCTGATATGAATTTAGCATTTTGATAGTTGGTTAAGGATCAGGTTAGAATATATAATATGGAAAATATAGCTATTATCTAGGTAGACAGTAACAGTTATATAATGTGTACTGTAAGCCTTATCTACATAGTAATACAAATAAAAATATTTGTATTACTACAGGGTTCTAGGCTAATACACTTCGTCCATTCCTACATGTTTGAAGTTTGACTTTGCCTTTGTTAAAGC